GGTGCTGGTCATTACCTTTAAAGCCCTACATGGCCTAGGACCTGGATATCTGAGAGATCACCTCCTGCCACATACCTCCCAACGGCCGAAAAGATCTCACAGGCTGGGCCTTCTCTGGGTGCCGTCGACCGGACAATGCCGGCTGGCGGCCCCTCCGGGAAGGCCCTTCTCTGTAGCTGCTCCGACGTGTGGAATGAGCTACCTGTAGAGATCCGGACCCTTCCCACTCTCTCGGCCTTCCGAAAAGCCACTAAAACCTGGCTATTCTGGCAGGCCTGGGGCTGTTGCCTTCATGAATGAAGTCCAGCCCCACTCAGATTGAGTGTATGGTGTGTTGTTTTTAAATTGTTTCTCTTTTTCTCTTTTTAACTTTTTATCTTAAATTTTGTTTCTGTAAGCCGCCTGGAGTCCTACGGGATTGGGCGGCATATAAATTTATTAAAAGTTAAAGTTAAAGACACTGTGAAGCTATTATATGTACATTTTTATCACATCTTGTCATGCTTTAACATATTCTTTTAATGATTCCTTAATCTTTACTTCTATTCGCTAAACAGTTGTACCATAAATTCCAAACCAAATAATATTCAGTTTCTCATTCAGCCTATTCTCAAAGGGGTTGAACATTCTCATAGTTATTTCTGCCAGCTGTGACCTTTGCTGATCCAGCCAGGTTTGATGTTGGTCACTTATGTCCTGATCATATCCTGTGTTTGCAAAATCCTCTAAATAGGACAACCTTTGAAATCTCTAGAAGTTGTAGGTGGGCTTCAGCACTAACCTATGCAAAGAACCAAGATGACACAGTGTCTGCACTGGTTATTATTTGTTTAGTAAGCCAAATTTAAAATGTGGTAATATTTGTCCTAAAAATCATAATGGTTTAGGCCCTGATAATCTGAAGGATTTTATCATCAGTAAGATATTCAGATGTGTGGCAAAGCCTCCCCCACCCTTGTGACATAATTGCTATGAGGAATTTGTAAATCTGGCACTTGAGGGTGATCAGTATGTTTGTCAAAGGGACCAGGACTTTAAAGTGAAGTTGCCTTCTTTGTGGTTTAATTTTATTTTATCTTCCATTTTTATTTGTGTGTGCATCTATACTGTAAACTAATTAGAGCATTCTCTATGAAAGGGGGGGGGTGCAGCATATAGTTGTTTTTGGTTTAAAAATTAAATTTTAATCTAAATGTTTACATTTGATTTAAAATTATTTGTTACATTATTATACTGTTAGGGGGAGTGACCGAGCGAAGGAGGGGAGAAGAGGGGAGAAAAAGGGGTTTGTTGTAGAGTTGATAAAGCTTTAAGAGTTTGGCGGCGAGAGGATTCTGAATGGATCCCAAATGATCGGGACTCGAAACAGCTCTATTTTGTCCTGCTTTTTGTGGGGGGAAAGAGAGAGAAAGAGGGAGAGGGAAAAAATTTTGGGAACGGCCGTAGCCTTCCTCATCTGGATCCTGGAGCGAAGCGCGGAGAACAACACAAAAAAAGTGTTGGGTTGGTTTTTTTTGGGATACTCTGATTTTTGTCTCTCTTGTTACTGTTTTCAATTCAATTCTTTTTTTCCCCAGTCTTTTTAAAAAACTGAACGCTTCTACCTCCACCCCTCCTTCACCGTCTGCCCTGAGGAGTTTTGGAGTGGAGGGGAGGAAGAGGGTTTGAGGTGCGGGGATGGAGGTGGTTGCCGCCGAGTCCCCCCGCCT